TATATGTGACTGACCTTGTTCTTACTGAACTGCTCAAACGAATGTAGCGTTAACGCCATTAATTTAGAATTTGCTCTCATTGAAATGGGGCACCAGTTCTCTGGGAGGACAACAATGAATTACTTCATTGATAAATTTATCAATCTCATACCAGAAACCATGACTTCTCGATTCAATGGATTTCCAGTCTCTATGTTAAAAGAACACAACAGGACAACAGCTGGGTGTAAATAAAGGAGTTTATTAACTAAACCGCTATCTACAGAGTAAATGCAAGGTGTAATAATCATAAAGATGAAAATGATAATGAAATGAGCAGTGTGATGAGTTGGCAATGGTGGGAGAGGATATGTTATGGCTATACAGCTAATGATACTACATCTAGGAATGAGATTTGTTGATTAAATATCACTATATTTCGACATCAACCCAGTCATGAGCAGAGTGTTAAGACCGGCCTACTGTGAGTTGGCTGGAACCCAGATGGTGGATTCTCCTGGAGGCCGTGTCCCGTTATCACAATGACGGATTCTGCCGGTGTCTCAGCGGTTCAGCTCTGGTGGAGTTTGCCAGGAGACTTTCTGTCTCGGGCACTCTTGATTTCTGCTCGGCTTCTCTGCAGGCGGTCGTGCAGAGGTGTTATCTGCCGGCGTCTCTTGTGGGTTGATGCGAAATAAACTCTAATGCTCTTCACTTTGGCTGGATAACTTTAGAGGAGACTGGCATTGACCAGATGACTCTAAAGTTGTAAAAACCTTCAAAAAGGAAAACTTGATAATAATTAAAAGTAACAAAATTGCTCTGAGGCACTTCTGTTGTTTCGGTTCAGTTGGTCTTGACTTGGCTTATAATATAAAAGATATAGACAAAAAGAATGTTATTTGGAGCACGTGGCAAAGAAAGAATAAAGGCGCGGACAAGTGCAAAAATGGGTCATGAGTTTGTGGCTAGAAGCTTAGAGCTAAGAGCCGGGCTGTTGGTAAGAGCCTGGACTACAGAGCTAACAGAACTATTGAGCAAAGTTTTCAGCTTCTAGCTTCTAGCTTTAAGCAATGTGTGAATTGATCACGACTGTTTTATCCCCTGGGGGCTGGCGCATGTTTCAGGGGCATCACCCGTCTTCTCCTGTGAACTTTGAACTTTTGAATAGTTTAATCTATAGTTTACCTATAAACTTACACATCTGTCTTCCACCATGACCAAAAAATATTAAATGAAATAACATATAAAACTACTTGCGCTAATAATGGCAGAGAGGAGTAATAGGAGTGTTGATTTCATATTACATCCTTCAAACCTGGAATTAATCATGATACAAGTGGTTAACTGATCAAACAACAATATAAACATTTCCCAAAGTTAATAGTGTATAAATGTGGATTACACAGCAGTTCTTTGACTGTAATAATAATAATATGGACATGCTGGATGTCATGGATGCTGACAGTATGGTCACATGAAGGACATTGTCTTAAAGTCTACATGTTACATTCTATAGGATAGAAGTTTGGGATTAAACTATTGCATAGGAACAGCTCATGAGTTACAGAACAGCTAGATATTTAATTATATATTCTTCCTCAGATCTGTGTCTGTGAAGAGTGTTCTTCTCTGGGTTGTAGTTTATGACTCTTATCTAGAGAGGGACAGAGGAAGGGAGGTTGGTGTGTGTGTGAGTGTGTGTGTGTTCATGCATGGCACAGAGAGGCCAGGATTCACATCTTAGTGATGATCAGTCCTTTTGATGTTACTTTTCTATATAAGAAACAATCAAATATCATTAGACAAAGTCTGATTGTTACAAACTGGAGATTTTGCCTATATTCTCCAGTTGCCTGGTGTCCATTGGTTGATCCTCTGGAGCTGACCCTTTGACCCTTGGTCTGGTTCTGTGTCTCTCTGACATGCTAAAAGCTGGTCTGTTTGTGAGAGAAGGGCCCTTTGTCTCTGTTTCCTATCAATTTGATAGTTTGATGGTGGGAAGAGTAACAGAGTGTCAATTGTGGGTCCGTAACTCTGCATGTCCTTATAATGAACTTCTTTAACTTCTTGTGACTGATGCCAGGCCAGGTATGTCCACTACAAGAAACTGGTTGGTTGAACTATGAATGGTAGATTTTATTGCATAGTATTGTATTGACTCCAACCTGAATTCATTTCAGTTCCAGTCAATTAATTTTTTTTATATTGAATTTGATATTTCTATTAAAAGACACACAAACTACAGTGTTGTGAAAAATGTGCATGGAGCATTATTTCCAAATATTCCAGAATCAAATATTTATTGACTCAGTAATTGCAATTTTAGCCATGTAGCTCTATTATCGCTCATAAGAGCTTGTGTAATTTGAATATGCCATTGAGAGTATATGTTAGGTGGGACATCATGTTCAGGAATGTTGAACGATGACCTCTGCCCTGAAACAGCTGGTGTGGCACTAAAAAAATCCTTAATGATGGACTGGAGTGTTTTGAATAGTCCATAGCAGACACTGGCCCTTACTAACGTACTTCTTGTCAAACATATGAGCGTTGCCAAGTTAACAGCAAATCGATTTAAAGTACATCAACTAATCTTCTTTTTAAGAAGAAGGGCTATGTGGGCTACGGCATTTCTTGTCTGTAGTCTTCTCCTGCCTCGTCTCTAACTGCCCTCATGAAGTGCACCTTTAACTCTACCTTCACTTCCTGCTAAATTGGAACACATTTGTACCTTAACCTGTCAGAATCTACTTGGGCGAATCCAAACGTACGTGTTTCTGAGAGTCTTTTTTCTACAGATTTAACTTGTGCCTGCTATAGGGTACATCTGTGAAAAATGTACTTTTGTAGTACAGCGGTATGCTGCTCCTGTACGTCTGTTTTTGTTCGAGTTGTTCTGGACTGTCACACATCTCTCCAAGGAGATAGGAGAAAGGTACAGAACACTATAGGGATGTCTTTCAAGGATGTTTTTCACAACACAAAAAGATTCTCACCACAAGACCTGAGGGATGCTGAAGCTCATGTTATTGTCAAAGAACGTACAGACATGCATAATATATAAGTAGATCCCTTACTTATTTCCAGAGATACATCTGAAAGAAAATATACTTTTGCTGTTTAGAAATAGATACAGCTGACAGTTTGCATCAGCAATGTGAAGCAGACCGCAGTGGTAAATATTATGTGAATATGTGTGCTGATAGGAGTCCTCTGTTTCGAGATAATGATGTGATATCTCCCTAAAAATCAACCTAAGCTGTGTAACTGTTGTGATAACTGGTGAGCTGAGGTTGATACAGCGGCACAAACTCTTACATGGGCGCATACAAAGTAACAAATAAAGCTGTTGTCTCTTTGCCTGTGGCCCCGGCATCAAATAAGTCCTTGCCGCTGTGCAGTTTATCTGAGATGAACATCTCGATATTCTCACCCTCCGCAGTCTTCGCCGTGTTTCAGCTTCCTCCTTCCCAAAGACTCCCCCGCTCAGTGATTAGCGGCTTAAAATATACCGTAGTGTGAACTTTACTCATTTTACTGCTCCCCAAACAGAGTCACTCAAATGTACAGGTGATTAAAACGAGACTGACAGGTGTGCGGTGAAGTCTGTGGAAAAAGTGCAGGAGCCTCTGCTCTCCATTAGTTTAATTAAATTACCTTAATCTGATATAGGCTATTTCAAGTCATCACCCAATTATATGCTCTTTTTTGTTGGTGGCCCTGAGCACTGGAGTGTATATTTATTTATTGCCTCCCTCCACCCTAACACACATACACACACACACACACACACACACACACACACACACACACACACACACATGCCCATAAATACACACACACTTAGGCAAGCTGAAAGTTCAGTTCTGTCTGGCAGCCTTTCAAAATTATATGCATTCATTTTTAATTAAAATCTAAATTTAGGTGTTTTGCGGCAGAATATTTTATATTCTCCAGGGACACTGAAGAGTTCAATGTTTAATTCATTTCTCATCACTCAGCCTTGAGATTGCTTGTCTTCATATTGTTTCTACCTGACCTGAACTTCTCTAAATGTTTTACTAGAAGTTAATGCATTTCTTCACAGTCCACTGAATACAGTTTTACCTTTTTATTAACGATCGGTGGTTATGGTAATAGAAAATGCACATTATTTGCCTGGTTTGTTCAGAATTATGTTTATAGATGGTATGATTGTTGAGTAACAATGCGACCACACGTAGTCATACAAGGAAACAATGAAGAAAGGATGTGATAAGAATAACAGGGGGTGATGTCAGCTTCCTTTGACCACAACTTTCCCAAACAAAAATAACATTAGGTGGATTGGGTCACTGAATCTGTGTGCAGTTTTGAAGCTAGTTAATTACTAAATCAGGTTGCACCATTAATATGTAAAAACTGTCAGCAGTAGCTTACTTTATGAAATGTAATGTAAAATCTTCCCAGTTTACATCATTTAATCAAATTACATTCACTCTTAACGGATAAATATTAGCAAGCTAGCAATAGTTTTGTCAGTTAACAGTGACTAATTCAGCAAGTTTAGTAGCAGCTAATCTTTCCGGAACAACTGCTTTAGCTATCGCAACCCATTTTAACTAAGTGATAAGTAAATCTTCACCATGAAGATGATTCCATTATAACTAAGCTAATAGCTTAGCTGCTGCAACTGGTTCCTAAGGTTGAGATATTTGAAATGAATATCACAATATGGATAAAAGCATTTGATGTTTTGCGATTGATGTTCAATGCAACTTGAATTGCACTCTGAAATCCAATCTAATCACATAACTTCTTCACACATGTGTAACAAAAACCTTTTCTTTAGTTTATGATTAAAAATGCAGAAATTAACTTTGTCAAAAGAAGTGTGTACAATACAAACAGGTTTAAATGATCACAATGTGAATCCACTCATTCGTGTGTAATGAAGGACCCCAGAGAAAACACAAACACAACTGCAAACAAGATGAATTCAGTACATTTAATTGTTATTTGATTCATTGCACATTTGCTCAAGTGCAGTTATACTCAATGTAAAGCTTTAAAAAATACAATCTCAGTCATCTCTGACGTGATTCTGAGTGCTTTCATGTTGATTTTTTTTAAAATAAAATACAGTATATGACAGATAAACCTTCTCGATAGAGTCGTGTTCTTTGATAAATATGTAAAGTAAACACTGAGAAACAGGGCAGCATAACTGGTCGACGTCAAAGATACTTTCATTCATATTTAGGTAGTGTAACTTTTGACATAATACACGTACATTTCCCTTTGTCTGTGTAAACACAATTGTGTCTTAATGTTTGTTTTTTCATTAAAGAATTGTAGATATTGTACTACCCTTTAGAAGAGATCCCTCACATTAACCGTAGCATGAATTACCACCTTTCTGTTGGCACCTGAATAATCATAAACACCACTCTTGAGCTGCACTTGTGCATGCTCCACATCGCACACATCCCCCACTCTCCTCTTTAGAAATAGCTCACCAGGTTTACAATACTTAACATTTTTTCTCAAATTAAAAAAATAGTTTGGATCATCGACTGTACACAATACCAAAAACAATGTGCTTTTCCCCATATAGTGTATAGTGCTGAGTTCGACATGCCATCCACCGGCTGTAGTTAAGAGTGCACCCATCTCCCTTTTTTTTGAAGCAGGTGGTAGTCACAGGACGCGTCACGGAGGCCTCTCTCCGTGAAACTTTCGGTGTCTGTACCTGCCGTTCTTTTCCTTGGCCATGTTGATACAGGCGTTGTGCTTGTTGCTCTGCAAGTGGTTCCAGTACTTGATGAGTTCGTTGGGGTGGAACTGATGAGATGTGATCAGGTGGCTGTACTTACAACTGGAGTAAGACACCCGCCAGTGGTTGAAGAGGAACTCGTTGGGAGGGGGCGCCGGGTCGATGCGCAGCTTCGCCAAGCAGATCCCCACGTAAACGTCTTCCAAGTGCAGCCTGCGAATGCTGAGAGAGGCCTGGTAGATCAGCTCAGCCATGTCCCCTGAGAACACGTACCCCGTGCCTGAGCAGAATATCGGGTAGCGCTCGCTCGGGTACAACTCCGGCGGCATGTACCACTTGCTGTCCTTGTTTCGGTTTGGTGCATAGCCCCTCATCAGGTAGCCGGTGAAGTACCTCTGCTTGGGGGGGAGCTCGGGCTTCAGCAGCTTTTGGATGAGATACTCAGTATTGACAAACATGTCGCTGTCTGTCTTCATCACATAGGAGGCGTGTGGGCAATAGGTGGCCACCCAGTTCATGCCCATCAGGGTTTTGATGGTCAGGTTGTAGTAAGTGTCCTGATAGTCCTGTTGGATGATGTCATGGTAAACGCGGCTCTCTTCCTCTATGCTGCTCTGAAGGAAGGTGTCGGAGCTTTTCCCTGTGCCGAGCAGGAAAAGACGGACAAACCCCAGGCCCATTGCGACGCTCTCATTCCCCCAGGTCTGGCGGATGGCGTTGCGGGCATCGGCCTGGCCGGGTTCTGCAGCGATGAGCAGTATGAGGAAAGGTGTGGTGTCCCTGCACTTGAAGGGCTCGTTCAGGATGTAGCGGTAGGGCTGAGCACTGAGCCTCCCACCCACACCCATCTCCTTTTGTAAACTGTTGTTTGTGCTCATGGAGTCCCCAAGCCCCATTACACCCATCCTGGCTCCACCTCCCCCTCCTCCCGCCTCTCCTGCCGCACCCTCTGCCTGCTGCGAGCTGAGGTTGAGCAGAGGCTTTGGCGGCACATACCCCGCCTCTCTCCAGAGGCTCCTCAGGGAGCTGCTCTGGTTGGCTTCTCCCTTGGGGCTGCGGAAGCCCCTAATGGTGTAGGTCAGTGGATTTTCCCGGGGCCCACTGCGTCCCGGCAGCCAGTCCTGGTGGCTGAAGAATAAGAAGAGGGTGAATAGCAGAGCCAGTGAGAGGAGGCCTGCTACATGGGTCCGAAAGAGCGAACGCTTGACGGTCCAGGTCATCTTGATGGGACAGCAGTGCCGCCGTCTCCACTGCATGGTGCAGATCGAGGTCGCAGGAGGCTGCTGCTGCTCAAGAATGGGCGGCGGCGGCAGTCACATACAGTCACCTCAAACATGTGGTTGCCAACAATCAGAGGGTTATCTGAGCTGGCAGATGGGTTGGAGTGAGCCTCCTGGTGGAGTAGGGAACAACTGAGTCCACCAGTACAGCTTGGAGCAGGTTTAAAAGGGCTCCTGGTGGAGCTTAGAGGGCGATGATTCCCTGGCCATAGAGGCTTCTCCCTGGCTCTTCTTTGGGACCGTAGACAAACACAGGGTCATGCTCCACGTCTCGTCTCCTTCAGGATATGATAAGGGTCACCTCCTCTGTGTTTGCTCTCTCTAATCTGAAAAGGGAGAGAAAAGAAACAGAGAAAACAGTCTCGGCTGTGGTCCAAAAAGCAACTCCTATTCGCTGGCACTGAGCCATATGTCAATTATTTGAGATGCAGATGTGTTTTATTCATTCTATTGTGGGAAGAACTGAGTTTGTTTTTTAATCATTTTATTTATGGTTTGTTTTGGAACACTCACAATAATTCTGAATTAATTTCTTCCAGATGCAAAGCCCCAATTATATCTTTCTGTGGATGCATTGCCCACTGTGGTAAATGTCTGAGTCAATATGACAGCGTTGTAGCATCTTTCACTGGACAGGGACCTAGAACGCAGCACACTGTGGGGGTGTGGCCTCCCGAGGAAAGAGGATGGGAAATTTTGAGAATACTGTTGCAAATATGTCAGTGGAGGAAAGGAACGTACGATCGAAAATGAAATAGATCCAGGTGTGTGCCTCTTTGCTGAGACAAGGTACAAAACAGTTTTTTCAGATTAATTCAACCCCACAGTAAAAACAACTGACTCAGTGAGCATATTTTCCTGTTGCTTTACACAGTAACAGACAATAGGACCATTTCCTAGACCATCACAAACTCGTCTCACAGTTAAGACCATCTAAAAATAGTGAAGAACAGACAATATTCTATAAAGATCTTTGTGGAAACTCTGAGCTGGCGCTGACATAGTGAAGCGGTGGTTGCCTCTTGCATGTCATTATTCAGCTTAACGCCTGGGGCAGAAGTATAAATTGCAGGTTTGCTCAATGTGGTGCCGGCTAACGCTACACCGACCCGCTTGGGCGAGCGAGTGTCATCAGCCCCCCACCACGCGTCGACAACCGGGGAGGAGATGCATCTGTCAAAATGAGTTTTCAGGGTCCAGCAGGCAGTGGTGCCAAAGCCTGAGCCAAGCCTCTGATGATAACAGCCTGAGCCCGCCATTCACCTTCCACCTTCGGCTTATCAATGCTGCCTACTGTCTAGCTGTGACCACCCAGGCTGCTCGATCTCACACAGGCATAAATACAGGACATGCAAGGAAAAAATGTACACATGCAAACACAGACGACACAGACAGAAAAGCGATGTGTGCGATTGCATCTGTTGGCCACAGGGGGTTGTGCACCAAGGGAGGCACGAAGGCGATCATGTATGCGCACATTGATTCTCTAACTCACCAAGGCAAACAATCCATTTGCACAAGCACAACATTTACTGTGTGTTGCACACTATCATATGCACACCAAATACTGCACACATAATCATTTTTTGGTGTTCACAGAAACACACATCAACACAAAATCAAATGCGGACCAGACTTAATGATATACAGAACAAACATACTGCACAAACAGTAAGGCGCGTGTGTGTGTGTGTGTGTGTGTGTGTGTGCGCGCGCGCACTAAACACATAATTATATCCACACTAGATACATACATCATTGCTGTGCATGTTAACTTACACACACACATCAGCAGAGAAAACAGAATATGCCAGCAGAAACTTGCAGGTTGTGCTAGACTCTAGTGAATATTAATGCAGCAGCAGTGCAAGTCTTGAATCCATCCTTCCTTCGTGAGTGTATTAATTTACTGGCTGCCTGCGTTGCCTTTTTTTTTTTTTTTATTTGTTTGCTTGCTTTTTTTTAAATAATTTGAAGATGCTGAACAACAGAGCATTATATTTGTGCAAATGCTACATGCCGGCTTAGTGTGAGGCAGATTTTTCTGAACTTCCAATTTTCATTTCCTGCTATGTTTGCTCATTCGTCATGACAACTGGCAAGGAACACGATAACCTTTTCAGGCGAGTGAGCTTACCCAGCGCAAGCAATTACAGGAGAATGAGAGGGGCCAGAGCCGGCTTTGTTTTAAAGGTTAACATACTTTACATCGAAGCATATCCAGCGCTTCTCCTGTCAACTAAATGAACATCTAGTTACATGAGCTCTGATGAAGTGTGCACAAACAAGAGGGGCACGTAAACACACAAATACGTACGAACACAGAGACACACGTGCGTAATGGATGCCCACACACTGCCACATCCTCCCACCCACAAGCTCACATGTAGACAATCCATGAATGGCTGAGTGTGTGACTTTGTTTTCTTGTTTTCGGCGTAAATGCCAATTCTGCCGAGAGATCAGGCATCCATTTTTACTTTTTAGCAGTTCTATTTAATCTGCCAATGCCTCTCCTCATTAATTCATTTTCTTGCCTCCCATCAATGTCACTTCTATGCAAGCCAATTAGTTACACTAGCACTAATTAAAGCCCCAGCGATTCTGCAGCGGTCAATAATCAGAACGAAGGCTGGGGGAATGACACAGTGGTGACATACTAGGCATACATTATAGCGTCGTCGCTGTCACCACATCAGCTTCAAGCCTAGAGGAAAAACAAAACATAATAATAATAAAAAAACAAAAAAAAGAGGACAGGCTTTCAACAGCGAGGTGCACACACACACACACACACACACACACATACATTCTCCACAGGTAGATTTCTCTGTTTGCACGCCTACATAAACTGTCTGGCCCGTTTCATGCCTCCACAAAGTGTGTAATGCATGCAAAACAAGCTCTGCTGATGTCGATGAGGATGTGACCTTCATTCAGTGAAACAGTGCACTTTGTGATAGTGACACATTTTCCTCAGGGAAAAAAATGCAGCCTCCATTGGTGAGCCGCTTAGAGAGGCTGTTCGCTGGAGTTAGGAGGTTAAACTCTGCTTTATTGAAACAGGCCTGGCTGATTATGTGGCTGACTGAAGTTCTCCTTTTGTTTAATAACGCTGCCTTGAAGTAACAGTCCTCACTCAGCCATTACAGTCCTAGATTTAATTTTTTATTAAAGAAGTGTTGTGGTTCATTGTGACTCATGGCCTTCATCAGGGTGAAGAGAACCTAGGGTTCTTTAAAAAGAAAATCCCCTGACATACGACAAAAAACGAGTTTGACAAAGAAGTCGTGAATGTTGCAGCTGGATGAGGACCATCGCTTTCTGGGGCTGCAACTAGCAATTATTTTCGTTATTAAATGATTAATGAAAAAAAGCCTGTCACGTTTTTCTGGGCGCACCAAAAGAAACATGTTCAAACATTTTCATTTGTTCCAAATAACGCTTGAAGTTACTTTAAAGGTCCCACATTTTACACTTTTTCTGTTTTATAAATGTTGATCCATAAGAAGATGGTGTTAAGAACCAAAAACCATCTCAAAGTAGTTTTACATCTCCTCTCTCAGGCTTCTCTCTGGAGCTCTAGTAACAACAGGTCAGTGAGCCAATCAGATCCAATCATCTGAGGATCTCTTCTGACTGGCTGACTGTTTTCTAAATGATAGAATAAAAAAATAACAAAATATCCAATAAAAATGGGCGGCGCTTGAGGCACAGCTGAGGGTGGTGATTGCTTTGTTGTGACATCACAAGGTTACAGAAGTCCTGACGGCTGGTTTCTTTCAGTTTCTGAATACAGGCTGTGTGCATTTCTCTGTGGACTGAGCACTTTGATACTTTCACAGTATTAATATAGAACCTAGACCTGATTTATAATCAAAAAAGACATGAAAATGTCACTTTATACAATATGGGACCTTTAAGTTCATTGCTAATAATAGTGAGCTATGTAAGTGCAGTTTCGAATCTGAGACATTAACTTGTAATGCAGCTTTTTTAAGCTGTAGAGAAAAGTATAGAATCTGAATACTAATAAAAAGCAGCTGTATACTCACATTTGGTGACAAATTTGAAGTCATGAGAAGGATACATATTGTTCCTGATTTCACAAAATCATGCAACAAGTGCTATAGATGTCTTTTCTATTAAAACTGTCTCCTCCTACTCACAAAGGTTGTCGATTTTGATGCAGCACAGTGAAGATATCTGTTCAACATCCAAATGAAAAAAACAATGAAAACTCAGCTCTTTCAGTTCTATTTAGCCTTAATTCTCTGACACACCCTGGAGTGCTGCAGTCTAAGGAGGCTTCAGCAACTTCAAATCAGTCATGAAGTTTGTCTGTCTGCTGCTTTATCGTAGCCTCTACGTAGGACACTGTTGTCACGCCCCAATAAATAGCGCCAGCAGTGAACAAGGACAACGCCCACTGTTTTGTATCTATTTAAGACTCTGCCCTGGCTCTTGGTGTCCACTGTCAGCATTCCAGTTGTGAACCAGGAAATCAAAGCTCGAAATGCCTTTTGTCTTTAGAACTAGCTTTAACTTCAATCGCTCAGCCTCTCCTTGAAACCTGTCTTGTTGGTTTTTTTTATCACTGTATTGCTTATGTTGGCAAGAAACATTGAGCTAGTTTCACTGCTATTGTGCTTTGGCCTGCACAGCAATGAGTTTTTTTGAGGAATTCAGGAATTTCACATCTGCTTCTGGGCTCCTCAGGGAATTCAACCCCAGGCTTCGTTCTGACCAGACGCTTGAAGGAGAGAAGGCTGTTGGAGCCCCCCCACCCCCTCCTTGGCATTGCTGTGATCTCATTTTAAACCCTCCTCGCCCTGGTCACTCTCCTCGACCCTGTTCAGCTGCACTACTCCTCAACAACCTGTCATTTTCTGACTGTTGTTTACCATCTGATTGCAGCAAAAAGTTCACAAAGACTGGCAAGAAAACAAGCGAAATCGATGTGAGGGATGGTCACTCCTCGTGACTTTCACTCTCTCTCCGTCTGGTTCTGTTTGAGTTATTTGACCAGCTGGTCTCCTTTACTAAAGCAAGGAATGGGGTTTTTATATTCTTGTGCAAATTTAAATGTTTCATCAAGATGTTAATGTATAAGAAAGCAGTTTCCATCCTTTTTATTTATTTTTCATCGTAAACTCCTACACCCCTTTATCCAACACCAACCGTTATGTCCCAAACATTTGCACTGATTGTAATCTGGATGTTACTTAACACTTTTAACTATATATAAGTGGATCTTGTTACAAGATTTTGTCATACAATTGAACTGAGGTTGGTTTGGTGCATTACTGCCAGTGGCAGAAGACACTTCAAGCAATTATCCATTATTTTTAACTAACCATTTTCATCTAATGATTTTAGCTAACTCATTTACCTGTTTCATTTCTTTAAGCTATTTTAGTCATACATTTCTAGCTAACTTGTTTATCCATTATTTATTTTTATTGCAACCATTAATGTAGCTAACCATTTTGGTTGTTTATCCTTTACTTTAAACTAGATACTGCAACCATTTATCCACTTTTACATAACTCTTTCAACTCCTTATCCATAACTTTTTTTTTTATCCATAAATTTTAATAGTTTACTCTTTAGCATCTTTTTACTTTAAGCTAACTCTTAATACTTCTCTGCTCACTTGCTAACTAGTTAGCTAACTAGTTAGCAAGCACTATTTGGGTAGCATGTGACGCTGTCTTTTGATTCTGATTAATTTGCCTTTTTTTTTTTTTTTTTTTTTTGGATAAATGTACCTGTGTCCATTATTCTTTTTCTCTCTTGTTGCGCTGTTTAGTGCGCTATTTTCAGTTTTACCTGCAGGGGTTTTTAAAAATCTGATGTTGAGATTTATGCCAGAACCCAAATACAAACACAAATGAGTGTGTTGGCATTTGGAAATTTCACAGCAACATATCTTTCCAATAAACAGTGTCCCTGCTCCTCTGAATAAGTTGTCACTAGAACAAACTTTCTGTCCAGTCCATCAGCCCTAACGGAAAACTGCAAGGAACAGAGAAAGTGTTTTTTTGGGGTATCTGAGTGAAGTGACCCTTTGAAAATGTTTGGTGTATATGTGACTCAACTAGGATAGGACCGCTGGGAGAAGGGAGGGTTGCGTTCTTGCTAAGTGTTTCCGAGCAGACGAGTGACAGAGGATGACCAGCTGTAATTTTTTTTTTTTTTTACCCATCATCACTAGAGGCTTGTCAGATCTGGGCCAGGCCACTGCAGCCCCACATCACACAACATGACCACATCTGATCCTTAAAGGGTCATTTCACCCAAATTACAAAAACCTCTCTTGTGGTATCTTAGCCATGAAGACAGTTTACTTTTAATTGTATCTATAGGAGGGCCTGCCTCCATCTTAACACAATAAGGAAAGGGGATTAACTAGTTCCAATGACAACCAGGAACTGGGAACCTGTTTGGAACACATCCTGTAGCCCGTGCAACTGCTGATAATATAATCTGTGCATTTGCCAAGGAAAACAGGGACTGTCTCTCCAATGATATTTTGCCGAGCTGAAACGTTGAAGACCACTCAATTAGCCGATTGACAGATAATTAATTAGCAACGACTTTGATAATCGTTTAGTCATCATCATTTTTCAAGCAAAAATACCGATCGAACGATCTCCAGTTTCAGAGTCTGCATTGAGAGTTTATAATGTTTTTCTATGTCTAAAGTCACAGTAAACTGAATATCTTTGAGATTTGGACTCTTGGTTGGACAAAAAAGAGCAATTTTTTACACATTGGGTTTTAGGAAACTGTAATGGATGTTTTTCATTTCATATTTTCTGCCCCTAATGTACATAAAAAATACGATATAGAAGAAGAAGATATCAAAACTTGAACAGATAAGGCCAAAAGAATGTGTTTGTTTGTACTTTGTGGGAACCGACCCTTTAATGTACAAGTCAAAGCTATATAATATCGACATGCAGTGAAACATTTTAGATTCATTTGTCCTTTAAAAAGGGTTTTAACAAAGGATCGAGAAGCCTCTTTAAACTCGCCTCAAAAATACAAGAGACCTCTGGGAAATAAAGCTTTGGCAGCTGCGAGCCACTGTAGCTGTTGTAAATATTATATGACAGTGATTCTCTTCCACTCAATGAGGGCGATACCCACTCCTTCTCATTGTGCGGCTGCCAACTTTTACCACTGACTTTAATTCTAGCAGTATTTCTGTTTTACTTCATTAATAAAGCCCGGCTGTTTTTTTCTATTCTCCTTACTTTTCAGGGGTGTCGGTTCATATGCCACGGCAATAAATTATGAGGTGGTTTGAAAATTAGACCCTATTAAAGTTTCATAGTCTAGTGGGCAGAGTGAACACCCTGATGGTGAGCTTAGCTGATGTTTTTTTTTTTTTTTTTTTTTTTTTAATGTCAATCTCAGCAGTTAGCAGATATCCCTAAGTATGCATAAGCTTTAGTGCCAAATAGCTCAGACAGCTGTACGTGATGAAGTGGATAAAAAGCTCTGTTAATTGAGCTGAATCAATGGAAACCTCCCGGTATTGCCTCTTGGCAGGTCCAAGGAAGGGATTCCTAAATTTAATTTCAATACAGAATGGACTGCTGACCCCCATGTAATGACAGAGATGCCACCTTCAGGAATCTCTGATGGGAGAAAAAGAAAATGACTCTGCTGTGGGCAAGGAGGAATGAAAGCTGTCATCAACATTCATCCTTAGGGAGTGAAGTAATAGTAAAATCAAAAGTATTCTTAATTAGCAGGGATACACCTGCCTGAGGGGCCCTTGCATCATTTTAGAGAGCCACTGGGGGTCCAAAAAAGTGCCAGAGGAGATGCAGGATGTTGGGACACAGGAGGAAGGGCATGGATGGAGAAACTGATGGATGGATGGATGGATACTAGTCAAAGGCGACTGGAAAAGGTGGATGTTTGGATGTAATGGAGGGGAGATGAGGGCGGGGAAGGCTAAATGAATAATGAGGATGTGGGGGACTGATGAGACGTGCAGTGCTGCGTACCTCCTCCTCATCATGCTGCTGCTGCTGCGGCTGCTGACAGGGCTGCGGTCGGCTGACGGAGTGTGTGAACCCTGGTGCCTTTACCCGCCATCACCGCCTCCTTGGTTCATAAACAACCTGGGCTTTAGTGCGTCTCCTCTCCGAGCTTCCTCTCCTAATCACACTGACACCTTGGATGTATTTCGTCCCTCCTCGTCCTCATCCCCACAGGCTCAACAAACCTGCAGGTTTTTGGTTCTCCTCCTGCTGCGACTCTCCCTCTCCTCTCCTGCTCCCTATGTCCGTTAGCCTATACACCACGGCTCTCCTCTACCTCTACATAAATATCTTTGCCCCCTCTCGCTGCTTCGCTGTTGTTTCCTAACCTTATCCAAGTTAACGTCGCTTTCCAGAGGCGTTATTTAATGTAATTGTAGGAGATAACACCACAGCATCCACGCACGTTTATCCGATCCGCGGGGAGCACAAGAGAGCAGCGGCGGCAGAGGAGCGGGAGCGCGGTTGGTCCCTCACGATGCTCGGCAGGCTGTTGTACAGTAAAAGCGGAGTGAAAGCGATGGAGATACACAGAATGATAATAATTAAAAAAAAAAATCTCTTCTTCCACCCCTGAGTCCAGTCACTGCCAAAACATGTTCCCCGAGTCCTGCAGGCAAAACAAAAACAATAACTCGTCTACCTTCATCTGCCCGCTTCGGTTTATCAGTCCGCTCCCTCTTTTTTTCCCTCTCCCGGATCTTTCCTCCGCTCCGCCTGTAGGACCGACCCCTGTCGGATTTTTCAGCCGGGCAAGGCAGCTGCTGGCCCGGACAGGCTGGCTGTCAGACACCACTACACTGACGGAACTCTACCACGTCACTGCATTCTTAGCGGAGCATCTCACGTGACCCAGTTAGACGTTTATGCTGCGTTCATGGGTCGTGGGGGCAAAAAGCATCCCTCCCTCAACACACATACACACACACACACACAACACACACACACACACACACACACACACACACACACACACACACACACACACACACACACAAACACACGCACACACACATTCACACGAACACACCCCAACTGAAAAAGTGTTCCAAAACATCATTTTCTAATTAAAACTCACTAAAGGTATAGCCCGTGTAATTGCTGATAATATAGTCTTGTTCCATCATTATTCAATTTCCATTTAAAGGAACACTTTATTAAAATATAAGGAGTTATTACATTAAACGGCAGTTACTATAATTGTCATGACAAGCACTGATTTGGATCAGGCCGTTAAGAATTTATCATAAATTTTAAATCTTGTGTAAATTTATGGTTCTCCCACTGTTTGAAGACATAGTTTAGTTTAGTTTAGTTTTAGAGATTATGAAATGAATTCACTGTTTTAGGTGCTAACGTTGTTTCTTCATATCCACATATTCACATTGCGATAAAAATGTCTCAGCCATAAAACGTACCTTCATGAAACTGTGCTGTAGATCATTCATATGTTCATGTTAATCGTTTGAAGATGTTAAAAGTCAACCATTAATCTCTCTGAAGTATTCCTCCTTCCTTTTTAAATAAAAATAAAAAAGACAAGAAACAAGATCATTACCATGGATACACAATCAGTAGGCCTCAAGTATAGATTTGAAATTACAATGTTTTAGCTGTAATTTGAGTAGTTTTGGTCTGAGAGTGTGGGCTTGGGCTTCCAACTTTATGGCAAAAGTAGAGCCCTGAACTCAACCCCATCCGACACCTTTGGGATCAGCATTGGACCTCACTAATGCTTTTGTGGCTGAATGAGAGCAAATCCCTGCAGCCACCTTTGCAAGCTTCCAAATATTGTAAATGGAAAATGGACTGGCACTTATATAGTCCTACTGACCTTTACAGTATTTGCTACATTCACCCATACTGTGATACATTACACCCATACACTGATGGACGATTGGATACGCAGCCTGGAGGAGCTGTGAATCGAACTTCCAAACTCCTGATTCGTGGACGACACACTCCACCTCCTGAGCCAAAGCCTTTCCAGAAAAGTGAATCTGTTCTAGCAGCAGATGGTGCCCATGGTTCTGGGATGATATGTTCAACAATCACATGTAGGTGTGCCGTTTTTGTGTCCACATACTTCTGGCCCTTTGGAGTGTATTCATGTATTTTATTGAAATTGTATTTTTTTTTTTTTATTAAACTTCATAACGGATTTATAGCTATCACATTAATATCTAGAAAGAAAACAGAAAGTATGAGTATTTAAATAGACATTCTGCAGCTTTATTGTGCAGATTGATCCTCCTTCTCATCCCCAACACAACAACAAAAGAAAAAGATCTAGGAAATTCGTATCCATGTCTGGCAGTGGGCTACTTTTACTACTGATTGCAAATTAGATGGAAATTTCTTTCAAGCTGCAGCAGATGTATTTATGAAAGAAAATTTGCAAACAGTATCTTCTGCCTGAAAGCTGAAGTGGATGGTATTTCCACATAGGAAACTCATTCCTCCCACTTTTCCCACATTCACATGAATGCAGCATCGCTCCTGCCTTTCCCTTCTCTCCTCCTTCTCCCAAGCCCACCACCCAGCACTCCTCCTCTGTGGGTGAAAAAAAAAGAAAGGGGTGGGGGGGATTTAACTCAGGAAGAGCATGGTGGCCAGTGGTTGTCTGGTAACAGCTGGATCTGCCACAGTTGCGCTCTTTGTTTAACCCTTCTGGCCTGCGTGGTTTCTGCTGGACCCTTTTAAAACACTTTTAATTCAAAAACAGATCGTTTTGTTTGCCTTGTTTGCAACATTAGTAACGCATCATTATGCACACATGATTATCAACTATATTTAGCGTCCTTTCACATGCAGACTGACAAAAAATAAAATAAAACAAACACACTCGTGGCCGTTGACTGCTCTGACTCTCTCCCTCCATTACAGCATGATGATGAAACTCTACCTGCCTCATTAATGACTTAAACACAATGCAAACCCTTCATCAGCCATCAGTCATGTTTACACTCATGCACCTCCAGAGACCGGCGTGCTCCTTGATAAACGATGAAAGCAGCTTGTCTCCTCTTCCCTCTCTCAGTAGAAGTGGAGCAGATGGAATTATGGCTCATGCAAAAGCAGCCCGCTACTTCAGGGACAGTAAGCCGGTGGGAGAGCAGCCCTCTTGTAGCACTGTAAATATTGTAAGGTAGCACCACAGCATAGGAGCACAGGTGACTGAATAATTAATAGGAGCTGTGTCTCTGACAGAAATACTTTGGAGGCCATTAGCTCTGCTACCCGGCCGGTGAGAGCATATTTGTCAAAAGAAAGTAATGCCGGGGTGGTGATTGATTTCCCGTGGTTGCCAGGTTAGAGGCAGCGTGCCTGTGTACATTAATATCATGTGGCATCTATTAGATAGGTGACTTCCTCAACTCGTCCAGCCCGGTTGCCTCAGCAAGGAGCGGCGTATCAAAATTTAAATTGTCATCATTAATTGCTGGTGCTCGGGGAGTATCTTGGAGCACCACGTCCGCTTCTCCTGCTGTAACTCAGTCTCCTGCACACAGACACATGCACACATACACAAGATGTCCTCATGTACGGTAGAAATTGTGCAAAAAAAAAAAAAAACCCAAAAAATTTCTGCATTCATTTTTATAGACTTGCCTTGCAGCCCTTGTAATGTGATCTCCTTTTATCTCACTAAATTTAAACACCCCATGCCTTGAAGTACAAAGTCAATAAAAGAATGTGTGTGCTTTGGCATGGGGTGAGACACTATTCACAAAACATGACTCCTGCGAAAAAAACAAATAAAGACAGACACCATATTTCTTTATTGCATTTTCTATTCCTGTTGTTTTGTTTCAAACACACTTCTAAAGAGTGGAAAACAGTATGACAGCACAGCCACAGTTTCTTTTCTTTGCGAAGCAATAAAGTTCAAACACAAATGGGCCAGCATTTGCATAGCAACCTGGAACCCCTTTCGCATTTGAATAATTTCTAATTTCTATGCTTTCAGTCCTGGTCAATTCGCCATATTGGCAAATTCTGAGAAGAAATGCTGAATTAAATGGAGAATAATGCATTTATATCTACCTATTCACAATGTGAGTTAACCCATTTGATGAGTCAATAGATTTTTCTTTGTTCTAATTCTTTTCTAATGCACATTTTCCTCAGGTTGTTTTGTACTTCACTTTCTCTTTTTCCCCTCAGACACTGCTCGAAGTTGGTTATCTCAACGCTACACCTTTTAGGAAACGCAGTCTTAGATGAAATATGAGCTGTTATTGCATCTCTTAAAGAGTGCAGTCATAATGTCCTGTGGCAGAGCCTCAAGTGCAGGCAGTGATGTCTCTGTGAATATCTTTGTCTTCACTCAGACTCAGGCCTCCATTCAATGAATAAAAATCGGGGGTGTGTGTGGGTGTGTGCAGGGGGGGGGGGTCAGCTCTGTTATAAAAGAGGACACATTATAAAGCATTAAGCATTAATTCGCTGAATTTCATATTATCTTGGAGACTAATTAGCATAAAATGACACCGGTTTAAATTAGACTTTTATCATTCATATCACGACAGGGCACGATGACTGACGTTTGCTATAAAAACTGATTTTGCAGATGGCTGCCACCTTTCCACCTGCAATCAACACGTTTTAATTATGTGTGTGCATGTTTTGATTAAGTAAAAAAAAAAAAAAAAATCTTTTTCATAAATTACATATCTGGCAACATACAGAGGGAATCAGATAAAGGTGCAATGAGAGATGCATTCAACCACCTTAATGACAAAATAAAACTGTAATGCATGCCAGATCCATATGGAAACACATTTTCCTGAGCAGATCCAATCATAAAATGCCTGCAATTCACACAGTTGGCAGGCGGTTTGGATAGTAGCATGCCTGTCAGAGCGGATTGTCTTGGATTCTTGCGGTGTTTACTGTCAACGGCTTTCTCTATGTGCCTCGTGCATATGGAAGAATTAACAATAAAGTTGACTTTGAATATTTAGAAGCAGAGTGATGAGAGCTAGCGTACGTGCATGGTTGTCTGTGTTTTTTCACAAGACAAGACAAATCTGATGTCAGACTGTTTACAGGCAACACATTTTAATCCCATGTGTATATCCAATCCAATCATATCAAGACGTGTCTGTATATAAAATACTTGTCATTGCCTGGGCTAAAGAAAGACAGAGCTGTCCGGTCGTCACTGCCAGATATAGATGTGGTCAGACAGTCTGAGATGCAGACTCAATGTACCAATGAGCCATGTAAACAAGAAGAGCTGGAGGTGAAGTCATGTACAGTTATCGAGGGTTGGATCGCATTTCTTTTAAGTGAGGAGAATGCTGTGAGGTGATCTCATAATTAACAGCCTTTACAATCAAATATCAAAAAATCCACACTGATATGACAATTTGCAGGGGAAGGCGTTTACACGTAATGACAGGAAGAAAGGAAAGTGAGAGGCTACTTCTTTGTGAACCAGATTTTAAAACAAGAAAAGAAAAATAAGATGGTCTGGTTGCTGTTATTTGAATGCACATAGACAACAGACTCTGTTGTCATTGTCAGCAACATAATCTCGGACATCCAGTCTTGAGGAGAGGTCGGAGAGCAGGTCAGAAGGAAAAAGAAAACCACGGCTGCTTTTTAAATGATGTTGTCTCAGTGCCTCATAGTCTGCAAAGGCATGTTTTATGTCAATTAAACCAGTGTATTCACAAGTCAAGGAGGCAGTTTACAATATCAAGGCAGGTGAATCCTTGCCAAATAAAGATAATCCTTATCAAATATGTATGGATTGGTGCCACACATAACTGCAA